GGCCGTTCAGTAGGTACCGCTCTGTTGTCATCAGGTCTTGGCTAAAGGCCGTTCAGCAAGTACCGCTGTGTTGTCATCAGGTCTTAGCTAAAGGCCCTTCAGCAGGTACCGCTCTGTTGTCATCAGGTCTTGGCTAAAGGCCGTTCAGCAGGTACCGCTCTGTTGTCATCAGGTCTTGACTAAAGGCCGTTCAGTAGGTACCGCTCTGTTGTCATCAGGTCTTGGCTAAAGGCCGTTCAGTAGGTACAGCCCTGTTGTCATCAGGTCTTGGCTAAAGGCCGTTCAGTAGGTACCGCTCTGTTGTCATCAGGTCTTGGCTAAAGGCCGTTCAGCAGGTACCGCTCTGTTGTCATCAGGTCTTGGCTAAAGGCCGTTCAGTAGGTACCGCTCTGTTGTCATCAGGTCTTGGCTAAAGGCCGTTCAGCAGGCACTGCCCTGTTGTCATCGGGTCTTGGCTAAAGGCCGTTCAGCAAGTACAGCTCTGTTGTCATCAGGTCTTGGCTAAAGGCCGTTCAGTAGGTACCGCTCTGTTGTCATCAGGTCTTGGCTAAAGACCGTTCAGCAGGCACTGCTCTGTTGTCATCAGGTCTTGGCTAAAGGCCGTTCAGAAGGTAGCGCCCTGTTGTCATCAGGTCTTGGCTAAAGGCCGTTCAGCAGGTACCGCTCTGTTGTCATCAGGTCTTGGCTAAAGGCCGTTCAGTAGGTACTGCCCTGTTGTCATCAGGTCTTGGCTAAAGGCCGTTCAGTAGGTACCGCTCTGTTGTCATCAGGTCTTGGCTAAAGACCGTTCAGCAGGTACCGCTCTGTTGTCATCAGGTCTTGGCTAAAGGCCGTTCAGTAGGTACCGCTCTGTTGTCATCAGGTCTTGGCTAAAGGCCGTTCAGCAGGCACTGCACTGTTGTCATCAGGTCTTGGCTAAAGGCCGTTCAGCAAGTACCGCTCTGTTGTCATCAGGTCTTGGCTAAAGGCCGTTCAGTAGGTACCGCTCTGTTGTCATCAGGTCTTGGCTAAAGGCCGTTCAGTAGGTACTGCTCTGTTGTCATCAGGTCTTGGCTAAAGGCCGTTCAGCAGGCACTGCCCTGTTGTCATCAGGTCTTGGCTAAAGGCCGTTCAGCAAGTACCGCTCTGTTGTCATCAGGTCTTGGCTAAAGGCCGTTCAGTAGGTACCGCTCTGTTGTCATCAGGTCTTGGCTAAAGGCCGTTCAGTAGGTACCGCTCTGTTGCCATCAGGTCTTGACTAAAGGCCGTTCAGCAGGCACTGCCCTGTTGTCATAAGGTCTTGGCTAAAGGCCGTTCAGCAGGTACCGCTCTGTTGTCATCAGGTCTTGGCTAAAGGCCGTTCAGTAGGTACCGCTCTGTTGTCATCAGGTCTTGGCTAAAGGCCGTTCAGTAGGTACCGCCCTGTTGTCATCAGGTCTTGGCTAAAGGCCGTTCAGCAAGTACCGCTCTGTTGTCATCAGGTCTTGGCTGAAGGCCGTTCAGTAGGTACCGCCCTGTTCTCATCAGGTCTTGGCTAAAGGCCGTTCAGTAGGTACCGCCCTGTTGTCATCAGGTCTTAGCTAAAGACCGTTCAGTAGGTCTTGGTCAAGGCCGTTCAGTTGGTACCGCCCTGTTGTCATCAGGTCTTAGCTAAAGACCGTTCAGTAGGTCTTGGTCAAGGCCGTTCAGTAGGTACCGCCCTGTTGTCATCAGGTCTTAGCTAAAGACCGTTCAGTAGGTCTTGGTCAAGGCCGTTCAGTAGGTACCGCTCTGTTGTCATCAGGTCTTGGCTAAAGGCCGTTCAGCAAGTACCGCTCTGTTGTCATCAGGTCTTGGCTAAAGGCCGTTCAGTAGGTACCGCTCTGTTGTCATCAGGTCTTGGCTAAAGGCCGTTCAGCAAGTACCGCTCTGTTGTCATCAGGTCTTGGCTAAAGGCCCTTCAGCAGGTACCGCTCTGTTGTCATCAGGTCTTGGCTAAAGGCCGTTCAGCAGGTACCGCTCTGTTGTCATCAGGTCTTGACTAAAGGCCGTTCAGTAGGTACCGCTCTGTTGTCATCAGGTCTTGGCTAAAGGCCGTTCAGCAGGCACTGCCCTGTTGTCATCAGGTCTTGGCTAAAGGCCGTTCAGCAAGTACCGCTCTGTTGTCATCAGGTCTTGGCTAAAGGCCGTTCAGTAGGTACCGCTCTGTTGTCATCAGGTCTTGGCTAAAGGCCGTTCAGTAGGTACCGCTCTGTTGTCATCAGGTCTTGGCTAAAGGCCGTTCAGCAGGCACTGCCCTGTTGTCATCAGGTCTTGGCTAAAGGCCGTTCAGCAAGTACCGCTCTGTTGTCATCAGGTCTTGGCTAAAGGCCGTTCAGTAGGTACCGCTCCGTTGTCATCAGGTCTTGGCTAAAGGCCGTTCAGTAGGTACCGCTCTGTTGTCATCAGGTCTTGGCTAAAGGCCGTTCAGCAGGCACTGCCCTGTTGTCATCGGGTCTTGGCTAAAGGCCGTTCAGCAGGTACCGCTCTGTTGTCATCAGGTCTTGGCTAAAGGCCGTTCAGTAGGTACCGCTCTGTTGTCATCAGGTCTTGGCTAAAGACCGTTCAGCAGGCACTGCTCTGTTGTCATCAGGTCTTGGCTAAAGGCCGTTCAGTAGGTAGCGCCCTGTTGTCATCAGGTCTTGGCTAAAGGCCGTTCAGCAGGTACCGCTCTGTTGTCATCAGGTCTTGGCTAAAGGCCGTTCAGTAGGTACCGCTCTGTTGTCATCAGGTCTTGGCTAAAGGCCGTTCAGCAAGTACCGCTCTGTTGTCATCAGGTCTTGGCTAAAGGCCGTTCAGTAGGTACTGTCCAGTTGTCATCAGGTCTTGGTCAAAGGCCGTTCAGTAGGTGCTGCCCTGTTGTCACTACTTTGGGCATTCAACAATATGAACTTAATACATTCTTCGTGTGGTGACTATTTACAATTTCGGAAAGTTCCTTTAACAAATGGCATTGCATTGGCTGTTATATTCTGTGTTAACATAACTAAAACTGTGTTTGGGTGTGTCGGTTACAGAAACATAACATGGATAAGATTTTTCAGAATTCATGTTTTTACAAAATAACGAATACCACGATGTGTCAAAATATACGCAAATCTTCACAGTCTTTAATTCCAGTCTTCACGTGACAGGACATGGATATTGTGTCAGAGCTGAGCACCCGACTTAAGTCAGTTAACTGTAGTGGTTTGACTGTGTCAGTTCACTTGCATATGCTATCATGGCGGGCAATAGTAAGAGGAAAGCTGTCAGTTTAGACACGAAATTGAGAATTATTAATGCTGTTGATGCTGGCATAAAAACCAAGAAATACATTGCAATGGAATTTGACATTCCAAAATCGTGAAAATACGCGAGAAGCGAAATTATTCCGTTTAGTGGTCCGTTACTGCAGACCAAAGCTGACGAACTTGCAGTGAAATTAGGCCATGAAGATTTCACGTGTAACACTGCAATAACGTGTATTGTGTTTTGTCTTATCCAAGATGGCGGACGTTTCCGAGCGAAAACGTGTATAACGAACAACGGATATAACGAACTGATTTCACTGGTCCCTTGTAGTTCGTTATATCCGTCTTCTACTGTACTTATAACGATCTTTCATAGAATCAAGGAAGAAGGATTCCTTCTTTTTCGACAAGGGGCGGTCGGGTAGCTTAAAGCGTTCGGTCGTCACGCCGAAGACCAGGGTTCGATTCCCGACTTGAGTACAATGTGTGAAACCCATTTCTGGTGTCCCCCGCCGTGATATTGCTGGAATATATTGCTAAAAGCGGCGTAAAAACTTACTTATTCACTCACTTACTTTCTTCGACAAATGTCAATGTCCCGGGTGTTAATATTCTGTAGTCGTGATCTACCCTGGATTTGGGCTGTTGGTATGCATCAAAACTCGTGACATACCATCTCATTGAACTCTCGCCGTGATCGTGTCGTGCTGTAGATTTGATAAGCTAGTCGTAAATCACATAACATGCCAGTAGCTTCGTCATACATTATCACAGAAATTACGGTGCATTTCATTATCAGTTCACTGAGTGTATTTCACATAGCATCAATGAAGCGTTATCAGTAAATGAATACATTCTTGTTATAGAAGTAGACTTAATCACTGTAAGTAAACGTCTGAGACCTGCATCACTTCGGGCTTTCCTCCCACATTAAGCTGACACGCCGTGAAATAACTGGAACACTGTTAAAAGCGGCGTTAAACCCAACTCACTCACTCACTCTTTGTAAGTGTCAAAAGCAGGTATGACGCTCTACGCAGGTGTGTGGCGCTACTGCGTGAGGTATAGGATGTGTTTTGGGGTTCAGGTTTACAGACATAAACCACCCAATCCCGTTAGTCGCCTCTTACGGCAAGCAGAGTCGCCTCTTACGGCAAGCATGGGTTGCTGAAGACCTATTCTACCAAGGACCTTCACGGATCGCCACTGATCATCAATGTAGTGAAAATTAAGCACACAATTTCATAAAAATATAACGTTTTTTCAGTATATCACTATTGCAATACGTGACGTCATATCTGAACTCAATGCATGTATATGTAAGTCCGAATATCAGATACAGTAAACTACGGTTATAACGAACTGACCGATACAACGAACCTATTTTTCAGTCCCGACTATTTGTTGTATAAATGTCGTATATATGCTTATAACGAACTACGGTTATTACGAACTAAAATGAGTGGTCCCTTCGAGTTCGTTATAACCGTAGATTACTGTATACTACATAAGAGTGTGTCATCATTGATTTTCAGTAATCCATTCATATAATGTTTACTACTATATTGCCTTTTAGGTCAACGGAATATGTTTCGGCTGACAATTGACACAGGTTATTCTACAGTTTCACAATAACGAGAAAACCAACTTGCTTTATATTATTTGTTTCGCTCTTTGATTCTAATTGCGATATGAAGATGTCGTTTAAAACTGTCTATACGACTGTATAAACTGTATCCTCTAATGCTGTAAAAGGTTTCGTTTACTTACGGAATACATAGGTAAGTTTCCCACAGTTGCGCGAGCTGGACATGTGACCAGCGTGATGCTCTGTTAAGGACGGTCCTGATAACAGTCACTTGAATCACAGTGGTCAGGAGCATCTGTCAGTGTGTCGTGTTGTAGATAGTGTGCCAGCCCACGATCGCATTTCTTAGAATGATAATCACGTTGTGGTGATAACAGAGTTGTTATTCAATGTTCATTGGCAGATATATTGATACTGCTGTATATATAATATAATATATATAATAAATATTGAGTAAGTATGGTTTTACGCCGCTTTTAAAAATACATTGTATTCCAGCAATATCACGGCGAGGGGACACCATAAATGGGCTTCACACATTGTACCCATGTCGGGAATCGAACCCGGGTCTTCGGCGTGACGAGCGAACGCTTCAACCACAAGGCTACCCCTCATTTGAATTGAACTGTATAAAAACTCTTCAAGTAACACTTTATAACATTTTCATTGGCAATCCGACCTGAGATCTACTTGTTATTGTGCCGACAAGGGAGGCCCAGTCGTCTAAGGCGCCGCATCTCGCTGTACAGAGTTGCGTCCCTTGGGCACGCCAGCAAATTATGATTGTGGGTTCGAATCCCGGTTCCACCCAATTATGGTTTAAGGTTTGTCTGCACCAAACCTGTGCTCATGGATTTCACCAAGGTGGTAAATGTCTGAGACCTGCATCACTTCGGGCTTTCCTCTCACATTAAGCTGACACACCATGATATAACAGGAATACTGATTAAAGCGGCGTTGAAAGCCAACTCACTCACTTATTCTCTCTGAGTTTTAGAAAATTGACTTACAAAAGTAAAGGGATATTCTGTTTCAACATTTTGACTTATTCAAAAAGGACAAACTTTGAGAGTTCCATCAATATCAGACATTCTTCCGTTTTCAAGGACCTCGTAGTCACTCAGTATAATCATAATAATATTATCCATTTTAAATCATCAACATCTGCACTTGAGGATGTACCAAGTTGTCTTGCAACATCGGTCTGAAGACACCATAAGGTCTGCCGACAGACCTGTTACACGCAAAGATACAAATCCATAGCCATTTCCGTCATGTGGGTTGTTGCCAAGGAAACGCACCTTACGTCGCCCTTCCAAATCATCATGGCGAGAGAGAATTAATATTTGAGAACGTGTTGGAGAAGAAAACGGGTTTTGCAGCTAAAATATGGTATTGGCAAACGACAACAACAATAACAACAACAACAACAACAACACGAGTCCACAAGACCTTGGGTATTTCGTAAGTCAAAGTTAGTATGAAGAAGACTGGAAGGGAGTTTGAGATCTCGACGGACATATAATCAATACGTTGTACCTCAAAACACTTGAAATTTGGCACATGATAAATAAGTATGGACATAGTGTTGTCTGCCTTAGAAACGGCAAATAAATGAAGTAATATATAAAGTACATTTGATGTTTCATGCACACCATAATGACAATTTAACTACAACACTAAAATAGCAACAGAGAACATCCATTTCTGACTGATCAATCAATCAGAGGTTTCAAATAATAGCGACGTAAGGATACATTTGATATGCGACCACCATACCGCGCACGCGTATTTACCTGCACTTGTTTTGTCGCTGTTCAGACGTATGCGAAAACGTTGAGGTGACGTGTAAAAAAACCCAAACCAAACATATTTCGATATCATTCATCGTATCTATTTATTGAGTTCATGTTCAGCCAATGTACAGTAGAGACGGTCCGTATTGTGGCGGGGCGGTCGGTAGCCTAGTGGTTAAAGCGTTAGCTCGTCACGCCGAAGACCCAGGTTCGATTCCCGACATGGGTACAATGTGTGAAGCCCATTTCTGGTGTCCTCTGCCGTGATATTGCTGGAATATTGCTAAAAGCGGCGTAAAACCGAACTCACCCATCCACCGTATTGTGGCAGTGGTCGCTACTGAAGGCTACATCTATGTCAGTCAATTTACAGTTAATCCGTAGCCTAGAGAAGGTCCGTATTGTGGCAGTGGTCGCTACTGAAGGCTACATCTATGTCAGTCAATTTACAGTTAATCCGTAGCCTAGAGAAGGTCCGTATTGTGGCAGTGGTCGCTACTGAAGGCTACATCTATGTCAAGTCAATTTACAGTTAATCCGTAGCCTAGAGAAGGTCCGTATTGTGGCAGTGGTCGCTACTGAAGGCTACATTTATGTCAGTCAATTTACAGTTACTCTGCAGCCCGGAGACGGTCCGTATTGTGGCAGTGGTCGCTACTGTGGGCTACATGGACACCAGCAAATGTACAGTTAATCCGTAGCCTAGATACGGTCCGTATGGGGGCAATGGTTGCTACTCTAGGCTACGTGGACATCAGTCAATTTGCAGTTACTCCGTAGCCTAGAGACTAGTCGCTACTGAGGGCTACATGGACACCAGCAAAGGTACAGTTAATCCGTAGCCTAGAGACGGTCCGTATGGGGGCAATGGTTGCTACTCTAGGCTACGTGGACATCAGTCAATTTGCAGTTACTCCGTAGCCTAGAGACTAGTCGCTGCTGAGGGCTACATGGACACCAGCAAATGTACAGTTAATCCGTAGCCTAGAGACGGTCCGTATGGGGGCAATGGTTGCTACTCTAGGCTACGTGGACATCAGTCAATTTGCAGTTACTCCGTAGCCTAGAGACTAGTTGCTACTGAGGCTACATGGACATCAGCCCTCGTCTGTCAGTGACACTGTTTATGAAGGCGATGTCTAATGTCTGTCAGTGGTATCGGTGATGTAGGTATGATTATAGGTGAATCCCGGGGGAGCGTATGCGAGCAGGAACAACAGGTAGGCAGCCTTCAACCCCTCCAACTTCCCCTCCTCCTCCGCACACCGCGCCATTCTGCCGTCCGCTCCCGAGTACATACATAATACGCCCCTGTTCACCTGACTGAAATGGAAAAGTAATATATGCTTGGAACTTGTATTGTAGTTAGGAATCAACTTGTGATCGATTGTATTGAGGAATCAACTTGTGATCGGATATATTATTTCTTAGTATCATATTTATGTCTTTTCATAACATATTCACTCCATCAATCTAGTATGTTATTGATCACAACAGGCGGGGTAATTCTTTAATATTATAAAGTGTTTGGTTGCATACCTTTCACCTGAAGCAGACAGGGTCGTTCCACAAAGTGATCTTAGCGCTGCGATGAACGTTATGAATATAAAGGTTGCGAATACGACTAAGAAAACTTTGTGGAACAGGGCCCTGTTTGTTTCAGGGCCACAGGGCTTGGATAAACTTGTACAAATATTAGTCTTGCATAATGACAAGAAATATAAATGTATATGGACTGCAGTTTCCAGATCAGCAAATAGATGTAAATCTGTTGACAGAAACTAAATCAGCATATTTTTTGTTGTTCAGCATGGGTTCCTGAAGACCAATTGTCAACCCCAAACTGTGAATGAGGAACCGAATCTGTGACAGTGAAACATGGCATTGGGTCAACTGTCAGTACTTCTGGTAAACATAGCAACGGAATCGGGGGTAGTCTAATGGTTGCAGCATTCGCTCGTCACACTGAAGGCTCGGATTCAGTCCCCAAAATTGTAAGGCGGCAATATCTGATCCCCTCCGTGATATGACTGATGTATAGATAAAAGCAGCAAAAATCCCCACTCACTCATTTTAACCATCTTCCCTACACAAGGGAGTTAACTGACTATGAAAGTCCAGGTACCACCCTCGCCGAACTAGGCTGGCATTATGGAGTTATATTTTGGCTGGACTAACGAGTTTATACACAGTCCAGTCAAAATCGCGTAACGAAATCAGGATACGGTTCGTAAACAGCTCTGCAGATTTCAGTCGATTGCAGGATTTGCAAAGCATGTGTACTGACAACTCGGCATCAACAGATATTTTCCAAATCTTTTTCTGTATTTATTGAAGATGCTCAAGGTGATTTATTGCACTTCGCGAAGTCAGACTGTTTTATTCAAATATAGATTTTGATTTTGAAAATCAGATACTATTGACTGGGTTCCGCCATTTATTTCGAAGAAAATACAAGTGATATGAGTGGTGGAATCTCTCGATCGAAGGGTCATAGAAGGGACATAACTCATCATCGCCACTGATCGCGCTCCGATTGAACCCAGACATTCCTGCCTAGTTCGACAAGGGTGGAAACTGGACTTTTAATTCCCTTGCCTCGGGAAGATGATTCCAACAAGATATAAAAGCACTTTTCACAATGCTGGACTATCGCCATCGGATTGTGTTCTTTGGTTTGATAATGATACCTACATCTGGTGATGCTGAACAATGGCGGCCTCCGACATGGAGCGGTTGAAACCAAAGGCTGCTCTCCACGCAACCACTTCGGTACAGCTGCGGATGACTCCAGTCGCTTCCCCTACCATGCATGAAGCGTTCACTCGGGGAGGGATGGACGCAAGTACTACAACAGCGAAACAAAATGCTAGCCTTACTTTGCGTAACTTTTCTCAGTAATGATGCTGGCCAAACAGTCACACTTCGCAGTACACTTCAATTTACTGTTCATGTAAATCGTAAAAAGTGAGAGAGAGGTGGGAGAGGTGATTTGAGAGGTGAATTTTGTTGAACCTTTAGCGTGGATGTTCCTGTACTTACGCTGCAGGGCATAGGGTGAGGGGTGGTCGTCGATACAGATGCCGTTGACAGCAGCAAAGCTGCGGAGGGTGTCGCGGTTGTCACAGGTCACCGTCCGCTGGAATGCACACAGACGTCGCTCCTCGGTAACTTCACTGGAAGGAGACAACCTAGACTTACATTTAGTCTCTGAAATCTTATATTACACAATATCCTTCTTGACTCTAAAAATAAAAAAAATTCCCTATGCTGATTTCAGAGCTAGCTTGAGCTGACTAGACTTGCTTTTGTATGCATTTCTAGATTATTATTTTTTCATAAAATAAATATATTCCACGGTCATGGTGCAGGACTAGAGACAACCCAGCAGGTATTAGATCGAAATGGTGGATCTAGTGAATGATTCTAAACGCTGTCTAATGATGAGTCTAAATTTGGACGATATTGTGATTTAAGTGCCTTTTGTTTCGCCGCCCTACACTCTTGCACAGTAAAGGCGGGTGCCTACCGTATTTTTACAATATTATAGCATATCACTTCGGAACAAGTGTGAACGACAGCAGTCGCTTACTACGACCACGGACCTATATAAGTTATACAAGTCCGTGCTACGACAGAGAAACATAAAATCCTGTCCCGAAGTGATATACAAATAATTCAAGCCAAAAGATCTAAAAGAAACTAAATACGACCTAAGTTGTTGCCACCACCACGAGTCAACAGAATGGCAACATTGGTGGATGTGTTGATAAGATGCATGTGATGATATATCCCCGCTGTAACAGCTGTGCACCCAGTTGTTAATACAGTAAAGTACGGTTATAACGAACTCAAAGGGACTACTAATTTTAGTTCGTTATAACCGTAATTCGTTATAAGCATATATACAGCATAACAACAGCATATAGTTGGGACAAAAAAGTTAGTTCGTTATATCCGTTAGTTCGTTAAAAGCGTGTTCGTTATAACCGTAGTTTACTGTACCATGAAATAAACTGTGTCCCCGTGAGGACATGTCAGTAGTAGCTGGTAAAAGATGACCATCAGAATAATGTGTCCTAGAGATGCAAAAGCTATATGGAAATTGTAATTGATGATGATTTGGTTTTGTGTGAAAACGAACTGTTATCCACCTGTAGCTAATTGAGCGATATGTCTTCACAACACTCAAGACCAACACGGCCCGTTCAGTTTTAACGTAAGCTGCACATTAAAAAAAAACAATCGGACAAAAGAAAGTTTGATTTGACCTAAAGATTTCAAACGTTATCAAACCACACCATTAACAAACATCACCATTGAAATATACACCCATTTCTTGTTTGTTTCATTTTTAGCTACCATCAAACAAGTGAGTGAGTGAGTGAGTTGGGTTTAACGCCGCTTTTAACAGTATTCCAGTCATATCGCGGCGTGTCAGCCTAATGTAGGAGGAAAGCCCAAAGTGATGCAGGTCTCAGACGTTTACCACTTCGGTGAAACCCACGAGCACGGGTATGGTGCTGACAAACCTAGAAACATAATCGGGGCGAACCGGGATTCGAACCCACAATCATAGGTTTCTGGCGTGCCCAAGGGACGCAACTCTGCACAGCGAATCGCGGCGCCTTAGACGACTGGGCCACCCGTGACTACCATCAAACAAGGATGTAAACTATCTTTTTCCCGGCAGTTTACTTTGTGAAACTTATGTATGCATATGCATGTCATCGGGCATATGCTGTGACTGTAGTCATTCACGATTTTACAACAAAGCGGCAATCAAAGTGGCAATTAAAAAAACGGCATGTTAAAAAGTATTTAAATATTGAAGTTTGTCTGTAGAATACTCATCCCAAGTGTAAAACGCAGAACCAAATATCTAACTCATGTGAATGTCTACCTTTGATTGTTACTGTCCCCGGAGCGGTGGGGTAGCCTGATGGTTAAGCGTCCGCACGTCATGCCGAAGGCCAGGGTTCCATTTCCCACTTGGTTACAATGCGTGAAGCCCTAATGTCTCCTGTCGTAATATTGCTGGAATATTGCTCAAATCAGCGTAAAGCCATACTCACACCGTAGACACTTTTGATTGTAATATGGAACTAGAAGTGCTTTTCTAATCTAACCCATCGGCATTTATTCGTGTAGAGCAAGGTCCGAGCTGTTGTGTAATCTTCATTAACACACATCAGAACAGGGTTTAGGTATCAGATTGTTTTGTTGATCAGTTAATGTGGAATAAACTGATGTAACACTTTCACAACAGCAAAAATATCACACAACACGTGGCACGTGATGGCTTGTGTACAATATTTGATGCTCCTCAGATGCCCGGTGCTTACAAAGGGTACATACAAATATATCCTATCTCCATTTTAAGATCAATTCAGAGTCTGTCTCCCAGACCCTAGAGAATAAATGATAAAATGAACCAATTCAAGTGTAGAATGATTTGATCAGTCTAGAAAATGAGCATTGTTCTGGGCTCCATTTGGATTTGATTTTATATTCTGTAGATATATTTTTTAAATGAGATAACTTTATTTGTTGGACGAAGTGTTCGTCCATTAAAAACCCTGAACCCATTCGCCATCACGGCTTCGTGACATCATCTTCGACTTCTCTATTATATCCAACTTAGCACCGAACGTCCCTCGCTCACCTGTGCAATTTGATTGGATGGCTATTTTTAGCATCTCATCATTCCAAACCAAGCTGTAAAGGGTATTTATGACAATAGAATGGAGATATTATACCCTGGGTAAGCGAAGATGTGCAAGGTTTACCTGCAGACAGCGTTGAGGGTGCTGTGGATGTCTTGCTGTGTCAGAACACCGTCGAGGGTGACGTAATATCTGAGAAGGGTCAAATGACAGAGGTCGTCCATCCACCACAAGAAGTTGACAACGTCACATCTATCTGCAGGAGTAAGGTTATTGGTCAAAATAGGGTTTGGGGTCCAAATGGAGCTGACAAAGGTTTTGGGAAAGTTTGAAAGAGATGGGTGTCAAACACTTCTATTTAACTTCATTTTGTACAGTTCGATTTAATCTTTAAAAAGACCCATCATAAGAGTGAATAAATTATGTAAAAGTAAATGAATTTATATGCATATATTTTATCGGCTATAACGTCACAGTTATTGGACAATCGTGGATAATTGACTGACGTTTTACTTTGGAAAGCCTTGAACGACAAACAGTTTTAGAAGATTAATACCAGTTATGGACTATGGAACAATATGAAGTATTCTATTGGTACTAATACCAAAATTCTGTGCTCGTGCCATCAACATTCCCAGAAGCAGGAGAGCTGCAAACTTCATTCTGTACAGTACTCCACAAAAAAACTGAAAACAAAATGACAACGCAACAAAACACCTGCAAGCAACATAACAACATACCAAAACACCTGAGAACAACATGACAACGCAACACAACACCTGCAAGCAACATAACAAAACACCTGAAAAGAACATGACAACGCAACACAACACCTGCAAGCAACATAACAACATAACAAAACACCTGCAAGCAACAAGACAATATACAAAAACACCTGAAAACAACATGACAACATAACAAAACACCTGCAAACTACAAGACAATATACAAAAACACCTGAAAACAACATGACAACATACCAAAACACCTGCAAGCAACAAGACAATATACAAAAACACCTGAAAACAACATGACAACATAACAAAACACCTGCAAGCAACAAGACAATATACAAAAACACCTGAAAACAACATGACAACATAACAAAACACCTGCAAGCAACAAGACAATATACAAAAACACCTGAAAACAACATGACAACATAACAAAACACCTGCAAGCAACAAGACAATATACAAAAACACCTGAAAACAACATGACAACATAACAAAACACCTGCAAGCAACAAGACAATATACAAAAACACCTGAAAACAACATGACAACATAACAAAACACCTGCAAGCAACAAGACAATATACAAAAACACCTGAAAACAACATGACAACATAACAAAACACCTGCAAGCAACAAGACAATATACAAAAACACCTGAAAACAACATGACAACATAACAAAACACCTGCAAGCAACAAGACAATATACAAAAACACCTGAAAACAACATGACAGCATAACAAAACACATGCAAGCAACAAGACAATATACAAAAACACCTGAAAACAACATGACAACATAACAAAACACCTGCAAACTACAAGACAATATACAAAAACACCTGAAAACAACATGACAACATACCAAAACACCTGCAAGCAACAAGACAATATACAAAAACACCTGAAAACAACATGACAACATAACAAAACACCTGCAAGCAACAAGACAATATACAAAAAACACCTGAAAACAACATGACAACATAACAAAACACCTGCAAGCAACAAGACAATATACAAAAACACCTGAAAACAACATGACAACATAACAAAACACCTGCAAGCAACAAGACAATATACAAAAACACCTGAAAACAACATGACAACATAACAAAACACCTGCAAGCAACAAGACAATATACAAAAACACCTGAAAACAACATGACAACAAAACAAAACACCTGCGAGCAACATGACAAGATACAAAAACACCTGAAAACAACATGACAACATAACAAAACACCTGCAAGCAACAAGACAATATACAAAAACACCTGAAAACAACATGACAACATAACAAAACACATGCAAGCTACAAGACAATATACAAAAACACCTGAAAACAACATAACGACATGACAAAACACTTCTCCCCAAGTTAAGAGAGTTAACTGACGATGAAAGTCCAGTTTCCACCCTTGCCAAACTAGGCTGGTATTATGGAGTTACATTTTGGGTGGACTAACGGGTGTTTGCTAGTCAAATCAAAATCGTGCAACGAAATGGAAATCCGGTCCGTAAACTGTGGTGCAGATTTCGGGCGATTTGCAAAACATATGCACCGCCAACTCGTTGTCAACAGATATTTTCCAAGTCTTTTCATCTTTTTAATCAAGGTACTCACGTGATTTGATGCACTTCGCGATGTAAGCACTCTTTTATCACAATATAGATCTTGATTATCGAGCAGATTGTCTTGACTGGGCGCCGCCTTTTTGTTTGGAACAAATGCAAGTGATACGAGAGGTGGAATCTGATTGGTCTTTAGGAGAGGCTTAGAAGGGACATAACTCGTAATAACCACACTTGGCGCTACGATCGAGCCCAGGAATTCCTGCCTAGATTGGCAATGGTGGAGACTGGACTTTTAGAGTCAGTTAACTCACTTGCCTCGGGAAGATGGACAAAACATGGAAAGAAGATGTGCTAAAACATATTAGAAGAAAGTACTAAACAGTTTTTAAGATTAGACACAGGAAACAATGAACAGAAAGAAAAGGTAGGTTGCATTTCTTCACATACTGCGTGCTGACAAAACAAGCCGGACGTTGGACGTGTTACATTTTTCATTTGCAGACATTGAACGTTAACACACCAAAGGGACGCACCAAACATGTTATCATAACATTTGTTTCGAGGAAGCAAATGCAGTTAAGAGAGACACACAAGATGCATTTTTTGAATTTCCTGCATGTTTATAGAAACAAGCCGGATGAATTACGGTTTTCGGCGTGTGGTATCTGTAATATACTGCTTGCATTGGCAGAAGCAGGCCTCGAGCGCCGGTGTAAAGAAATATTTAGAACCCCATAGTATTTGGACCTGACCCGTAGTACTATGACCCCCCTAATATAAAACATACGTTGGCAGAAGCAAGCCACGAGCGCCGGACGTGTTACAGTGATTGGAGTGGCGTATCTTTAATATAAAACATGCGTTGACAGAAGCAAGCCGCGGGCGCCGGACGTGTTACAGTCAGTGGCGTGGCGTATCTTTAATATACTACATGCGTTGACAGAAGCAAGCCACGGTCTAACACAATACCTGCGTGTTATATGTATCCTGCAGACACTGCGTACTTCCACTGCGTAGTTCCACTGTGGTGGTCAGTCACGTAATCCAGTAACCCTTAGACTGAATGTAAGTGTGCCTCGTGTATGTACTTAAAAACCAAAGGAGGTTAAGGTCAAACTTTAAATGAGAGAACAGAAACAAGTGGGTCCAACAGTGTATAATTGCGATGTAATGCAGAAATATTTTCACAAATTTAAAATTCACTAGTCCAAACAAATACATTACATGTGTTCAGGTCTATTTTGATGTAAACGTGTATATCGTGTTGTTGATACGTAGATGATGCAGACAAAATTTATATGAAGTCCATCCACTCTTTAACAGTGTTTAACAGCAATGCCTCGTGCAGTCATACAGTTGACATCGTGAACACGTTTTCAAGACCTGCCAGAAACAGTTAACCGAATGCTCAGTGTCATTCACTTATTAAAGATCAATCAAATGATTCATGGATAATTTGCATTCGAGACATCCAGTCCCGTCTGATGCCACACATGGTACAATGGGTGAAGACACAATCTTAGTGTTCCCTGATGCGATTATGCTAGATTATGCCTGAAGACATGTAAATCCATTCTCATTAACTCCATCACATGCAGGTCAAGTTCATCTCACGAAATATTCAATCAACAATACTGAGAGTGATTCGTTTCACGTTCAGTGTATGTCTGATATAAACTACCGGGCAAAGGAAATCTTTCACTTTAAAAATAGTTGTATAAAAAGCAAAACAGCTGGTACAGGTTTGAATCCCCGCAGAAAACATTCGCCCAAATGCAACATGACGACAACAACGCAGATTTTCGAAAGCAGCTTTCCAAATCATGCATTGTTGAAAACGTGCAAAACGTGATTTTGAGACATTGGTCCAAATGCACGTGCGTGATTGTGGCATAAATACCGACGTTGGACAGAGCAGGCATTCAGTAAGCAAAAAACCACCAAGAATATGCCCAGACTTGCACAATGGCAACGAGACAGAACGATCGGTATGGCCAATATTGGGTCTACTCTACGTCAGATATCCAGAACCTACAGACAGGACAGACTCAAGACCGGCCAAGATCGGGAAGACCGAGAGTGACAACACCGGCCGAAGAGCGCTACATCCGGCATATTCACCTCCGAAACAGATGTATGACGGCGACGTCAACGGAGGCAACAGCACTAGGGAATGCCATCAGCAGACGAACAGTCCTTCGACGACTTCGTACGGCTGGTATACGAGCCTACCGACCCTTCCGTGGAATGGCCTTGACCCGTCTACACCGTCAACGCGGACTGCAATGGGCACGAACTGTACGTCGGTGGCAGCGACGTGACTGGGCGAGAGTGCTCTTTACAGATGAAAGTCGGTTCTGTCTGTTCAGGAACGATGGCAGAGTTCGAGTTTTTCGACGAAGGGGAGAGCGACTGGCGCCAAACTGCATTAGAGAAGTTCACCCGTTTGGAGGTGGAGGCGCCATGGTATGGGGTGGCATTTGTGGCCAGATTACAACACGGCTGGCTATCATCCGAGGAAACCTGAATGCTCAGCGATACAGTGATGAAGTGTTGAGACCTTTTGCCCTTTATTCAACATCAGCCAAGAGGATTAATTTTGCAACAAGAAAACGCAGGGCCTCACACCGCCCGAATTGATCAAGACTACCTGAACAACGTTAACGTCAACGTATTGCCCTGGCCAACTTGTTCTCCAGACATGAACCCCATTGAACATCTCTGGGATCATCTTGATCGTCAGCTGAGACAACATGTAACGCCTCCAGCGAACCGACAGAAGCTTGAACAGACTCTATTGAACTTATAGAACAGGATTCCTGTTGACGTTATCCGCCGACTGACGACGTCAATGAGGCGTGTGTTGGCGTGCATGGATGCCCAGGGTGGTCACACTCGCTATTGATGACGTGTTACCTGACTACTGTGTCAACAATGGACTCTTCATGCACTTTTTCAATGAACTCTGATTTGTGTAATTTTTAATTTGGACCCCTTGACTCTTTCTTTGTGTATTGCGAAAAAATGCAATATCGGCATTACAATGCATTTTCATTCTTATTCATGGAAAATGATTTCTGTTTATAAATTAATCATCATAAATCTCACATATGCCTTTGTGTTTGGTGTTTGGTCAAGTGAAGTCGGTGAAAACTTTCTTTTGCCCGGTAGTTTATAACGTCATTACTAGTGCATAACCCTCGATTGAGGACACAGATTCAATTGGGGATAAAAGGCAAGAAGTGCGCGGTCTTGAAAAATAGGTGTAGTGTGAGTGAGTGAATACTGCAGAATGCTGCACCAGGAGTCTGGCCGCTATTCCCTGTGATGAGTTCATGTAGAGTGAGTGAATACTGCATAACACTGCAACAGC